TCAATAGCTTTTTAAGCTTGTATTTAAGAAACCTCTTTCAATCTTGTCTGACATGCTTTTCCAGCACAAAACCAAACCGGAAAAACTCATTGACCCTAAAATACACCTTGTATCTATGCCTTTCATGTATAGAACATACTACCCATTTCTCCTTAACTGTATGAATCCTAAATTTCCTTTTTAAGGTCAAATACAGGTCTCAAGTCCTTCCCTGCCTACCCCAACCCTGAAGGGGCTTCTCTCTTCTCTGAATTCCTATAGCAATTACTGTCTAGGCAGTCCATTTGGCAATTAATAATTTCCTGCCTTTTGAGATCTAATAGTGACTGAAATCCTTTGTCATTTAACTTCTTAACTATTTCTAGAACCTCAAAGGCCATCTGGTCCAGCCCGTCCACACCAGCCTCAAGATTTCCCCTTATAAAATCATCAAGAAGAGGTCATCTATCTGGCCTTTTCTTGAAAATGTTTAGTAAAGTGGAGCCAATAACTGTCCAACGCAGCCCATTCCATTACTGGCTAACTCAAATTATTAGGAAGTTCTTCCTCAATCAAACCTAAATCTGCCTGTCTCCAATGTTCACCCACCATTATTTGTTCTGTCCTCTGATGTTGAGCCAAACAAATCTAATTCCTCCTTCCACGTTCAACCAGTTATAAATGTACCTAATTAATTATTATCTAGTCACCACTATTGTCCTCAGAAAATAGCATGATATCAAATGTTTTCATAAGGTAAACAAAAAAATCAAGTCAAATCTATGTAAGCTCCATATACATTTACATGTATATGTATCTATACACACACAGCATTCCTATGATTGGGTCTAATAACCATGTCAAAAAAAGGCAATGGACTTGACCTGGCATGACTTGTAGCCCCATGCTGGCCTTCTGTGTTTGCTACTTCCTTTTCTAGATGTACATTAACTATCTCCATAATGTATTCTAAAATTTGGCCAAGAATCCAAGTCAAGTTTCTGGAGTTTTCAGACTCTACTCTCTTCTTTTCATTGAAAATTGGGACATTTTTCCCTTCTCCAGGTCTATGGCACCTCTCCCTTTCTCCAAGATCTTTGAAGGATCATCCATGTTCATTAGCAGTCACAGGTACTAGTCCTTTCAGTATGGGAGGTTCCTAGTGCATCTGAGCCTGGTGATCTGAATACATAAGGACAGTTTAGCTGTTCTACCAGATCACACAGATTTAGAGCTGGCAAGAGCCTTGGGGGCCCCCTGGTCCAGCCAGCCCCCTCCTTTTACAGATCTGGTAATTTATCTTGCTCGAGGTTCCCCAGATAGGTAGTGATTGTCAGAGCTGGCAGCACTATGTAGTGGATAAAGTGTCAAACCTGCAGTCAGGAAGCTCTAGGTTCAAAATCCCACCCCTGATGTGTGACGTCTGGTAGGTCACTTACCTTCTCTGGCTCTCAGTTCCTCATCTATAAAATGAGGTAATGGATTAGATGGCCTCTGAAATTCCTTCCAGCCCGAAACCTATGATCCCACAACCCTTTTAGAAAAGACTATGCTTCTTTCGTGTTTTCCCAACCCAATAAAACATAGGTTCCTTAAAGACAAGGCTCCCCTCACTTTTTTGAGGGGGGGAGGGGGAGGGGGAGGGACTATCCCCAGTGTCTAGTCCAGTAGTAGCTATTTAATAATTGTTTGATGAAGTGAATTTCTCTTTTTAGCTTAATGGAAAATCAACTTGGCTGAGCTCTCATGAGAGAATAGTCATCCTTTGGTCTATTTGTTGATTTTCCTCCCAAAGTTGTTTCTTAACTATTAGGCTTTTGGGGAAACAATTTTCTAAAGCAAATGTGATGGCTAGAGATCACTTTACAGATCTGAACACTGAAGGTAGACAGATTAGCTTCCCCAAGATTAACCAGTAAGAATCTCTTCCTTAGGGATTTTTACATAGGAAGGGATTCTCACTTATCCAAAATCCTTAAAAAAGGAAAAGAGAATGCAAGTTGTCCTATTGATATTTGTTTAAGGAAAATAAGTTTTTTTCCTTCTCCCTCTCCTCCATCCCCCTCCCCACACCATCACACTTAATCTTCCTTTTTTGTTTAAAATTACCTTTGTGTCTTTCTTAGAGTCTCAAGAATTTTCACAGTCACAGAAGTTACATGGGCATGTGATTGCTAGTTTATCCTACTGACCACAGTGGTGAGAAAGGCTTTCCCAGTCTAGCAGAGCCCTCTTTTTTTCAATCTGAATATTTAAGATGGCCAGGTACAAAGCTAACTGTATAAGTGACTTTATAATTCAGTGAAATCAATCATTTTCTTAGGAATTGGACTCTCAAAGGTCCATAGTAACTGAGTAACTTATTAACTCTAAGCAACCTCCCAGGGCAGAGGATCAGGAGACTCTTCCTGCCCATTCTGTATGTCACAATGTGGCCATAGCAGCATTATGACATAAGGACAGAATTATGAAGTCAGCAAATCTGGCTACTGGTAATTAGTGGGTAAATCTTTTAGGCTATTAAGTCAATAGATGGGTCTGAAAGATTTCTTTCATTTAGGTCCTTGCCATGACAATATAACATCTGTAAGAATTACCTACCTTGACAACTTTATGAAAATAAATCTGAGGTATTAAAGGGGTGGAGGGAATAAGGGGAGAGAGGGCACACATCAGACGTTTACCCTTTGACAAGGGGTAAACAATATGTTCTTCTTTCTAAAAAGACCAAGGAATTAGGATTTTTTTTTATGTTCACAGCTAAAAGAAATTTAATAGACCCTGTTATCTTGAATGATTACTTGTCTAACTTACACAGTTATACTTAAAATAAAAATTCAGGTATGTAAATCCTGATAAACCAAGTACTGCAGAGTGTGACTTAGAATTACAACAAATCCAGGGTCTTTAGAGATCATCTAGTTTCCTGCCCTCACATACTTTTATAGAAAAGGGTGATTTTATAGAAAACTTCTCTGAAGGTCAGGGAAGATAAGTGACACATCTAAAGTCATCTAGTAAGTTAGGAAACTCAAAACCCTCAAGGGAACCTTCCTTTATTGCTACTGAAACGGATGAAAAACAAAACGTCCCTTCACTTTCAGTTCTCCTTCCAACAATTCAAATTTTATTACTAAGCATATTATAGATCTCTACAGTTTTCTCAGTTCCTCCTTGGGTTTCTGCAACCTAGGAATAATTATTTTTGCCTATATTTATTTCAATTTGTTGGGCTTTGGGCTGACTGGCTGCTAATTTATCTCTGAACCACTTTTACAAGTCACAACCTCTGGACTGTTTTATAATAGTTGTATTGTAAAGCTGCTCAGAGGTTGAATACATCACTATACATGTTGCCAGGTACTAAGTCAGTCTCCCAAAGTGGCCAGGTCAGAATCCCTTTGGAGATTACTGATACATACATACATGTATCACCTGATATAGAAACAATCATTGTACAAAGGGTTACTTCTGTTTCTTTCTCATTATTCTCCTAGAGGACCAGGAGAGCTACTTGTATATTCAGCTAATCTAACTACAAGTCAGAGCTTTCACTGACTAGGAAAAATTTAAGAGGATTACTGGGTGGCTATATTTAACCACTGGAGTCCTCTTAGGCGTCCCAAAATCTGGCCAAGTTTCACTCAAATAGTAAATTTGGTGACAGTTACATGTTGGAGCTGTAATTTCATGAAAAAAAAACCCAACAACTTCCAAGCATGCAGGAAGATGTTCTTTGAAAACATTTTAGAATGTTTTCAGGAACTTGTGCTAGTTTCACTGAAGTCTACATAGTGCTGACCTGGCTGGCTGTAGGTGAGAATTCTGCAGAGAACATCTCAACATTTCAGAGTACCTAAGCCTACCCAGAAGATAGTTTACTTCTCTAACCTATGCTGCTGAATATGGAAATTAGAATGTACAAGGACCTGTGAATACAACAGTTTCCTGAGAGAACACCTACTCAAGTAAAATAAAGTTTTACTAAGAAATAAGGAGGGAAAAAGAGTGTATGCATTTTGGAAATTAGTTGCCCTTTAAGTGTTTACAGGAAAAACAAAGTAGATTAATAATATCTTAACATTTGGGGAAAATCCTCTGGCTCTTCACATACTTCTGCATGAAAAATGAAAATGAGACCTGTTTTTAGGTCTATACTGGGGATTGAAGGAGGGCTATGGGGGGGGAGGGGGAAGCGGGGAAACTCAAGTTCCTCTTTGCGGAAGAAGAGTGTTTTCTTTTAGAAACGCCACAGGGAAAACATGCAAGGCTCCCCGCAGGAAGAGGGAACAGTAAACACCCCAAATTTATATAAAGACAAACTTTTAACTCTAACAGCTCCTCTACTGGATGGTCTGAGAGCCTCTCCTCAGGGAGGGGATCCTTTCTGTATGGAAGAAAAAAAGACTCACAAACTCTTTAAGTCAAAGGTGTACGTGATGCCCCTCAAGTCCCCCCCCACCCAACGCCCAGACCTGGGGAGTAAGATCTCGTATCCGGACATCTCTCAAGGACAGAAAGGCCAGCTAGCATCCTCCCCAGCATCCCGGTCCAGCCCCCTGCTACTCCACCCCTCCTGTCCGTCCATCCTTCTGCCCACCCGCTCCAGGTCTCGGGTCAGGATCTCTCAGGGGATCTGTTCCCCCCCACCCCCGCCCCAACTGCCACCTGGGGCCAAGAGCTCAAACCACCCCCCGAGGCTCTGCGAGAGGGAGGGGCACAACGGCGTCGGGTCCCACCTAGAAGCTCTCCTGTCCCACCTCCCCATCCCCGCCTGGCAGCCGCCACCCTGGGGGGCCAAAGGCGGGAGCTATCGAGTGCCCGCCAGCCGGCGGAACAGTAGGGGGGCGCTCTGAGGAAGTCTCCATTTTGTCCTTCGACAAGTGCCCCTTTTCAGCCCCGGTCCGCCCCGTGCCCCCCGCCGGCTTCCCGTTGGCCTTACCCTCTCCGCCACCAGGGCCTCGACGTCCTTCTTGGGGCCAGGCTTCTGCACGAAGGGTGTATTGAAGGAGATTTTCACCATGTTGAATCTTCTGCCTTCGGAACTACCGGAGGCGACAGTGGCGACGGCGGCACGGCTGCGAGACCGGGAACAAAGCTCTGTGAGGCACGGACGGGCGGACAGGAAAAGGCGGCGGTGAGACAAGAGAGGAGAGACACAAACAGTCAGGAGAGGAGAGATCGGGAGAGGAGGGGAGACCAGGGGAGCCCAGGGGAGACGAGAAGAGACTAGAGGAGACGAGACTGAGCAGAGGAGAAGGCTGCTCGCAGCTCCGAGACAACCTCCGCAAGTGGCTGCCTCCCGCCTCCACCTAGAGAGATGTAGTTAAGGCCGCCCCGCTGCCGGGTGCGAAACGAGGCGGGGCGGGGGCGGGGCCTGCGCCGCGGGGGCGGGCCTCGGCTCGCCCCGCCTCCTCCCGGCAGGCAGGCCGGCCGGCGAGCTGGCGGGGAGGCAGTGCATCATCCGTCGGTGCGGCCGCCGTCGTTCAGTCCATCCTGGCGGCAATCGCCTCCGAACCGCCTCCGCCTTCTGCTCGCCCGCCCCCCGCACCCCGCAGCTCAGGGCCAAGTGCGAAGAAAGCGCCTTGTACCCTTCCGCGCCTGGCCCGGCCTGGCCTGGAGTCTTCAGCCCTCAAGTCTTCTGCGCTGGCCCCCAGCGGCTTGCGACGTGAGTTGTGAGCTTCACACACACATCCACGCGCACACACACCACACACACGCGCGCGCGCACCCGCATACATTCGTACGGACCCCCCCCCCACTCCACTCCCACTCCCCAAATGTGATCCAGTGTCCACTATGGCTTTGAGCCACCCTGAAATGAAAGGGGACGTCTAGCAGCTCGCTAGAGTCCCTTCAGCTCATAGCTCTCTGTCTCTCTCATACTCTAAGAATCCCAAGCCTCAGCCTCTGGGTTCCCTCCCCCCCCACACCCGCCTGTAACTGCTGAGCCGTTGGCTCCCACGGGGGGGGGGGGCGCGACAGGGTGGCAGGGATATGTGTGTGTATGTGTGTCTGTGTGTGTGTATATATGTATTGGGGTGGGGGGGGTGGATACAAGGCAGTTGGAAGAACTGGGAGAGAGGGAGGGAAGGAAGGAGGGGAGAAAGGGAGGGAAGGAAAAGCGCAAGCCCAGGACAAGGTGCTAAATTGAAACTTAATTCTTTATAATCACTCTACTTATAGATCTTACTTAGATTAAAAATCCAGGGGGAACATTATTTTCAAGACCAAAAACGGAGACCTGCTTAAAGCGTGAAGGATAAATCGCTTTGTTAGACCCTTGTTAAACATAAATCGAGCCGCCTTTTTTTTTTCCCAAAATATGAGGACTTCTCCCCTCACCAAAAAAAATCCAGTTTCTATGGTCTCTCTATCTCTGTCGCTCATGTACAGCATTCAATTACGTGAGGTTTGCCCTGTTTAGGATGTGCTAGTTTGTGGGGGTTATAAATAGCCCTACCACCTAAGACAAGAGAGGGCTCTGTTTAAAACCTAAAAACCAAGTCTGTGCCCCAAACACCCAGCCAGCTATAAGCCAAAGAAACTTTAATATGCTAAGAATCTAAACCCCTCTATCCAAGTTTAAAATAATACCTGATTCATTGATCACTGGGACTTTCCACGCTAGAACGTGAGCACCAGTCACGGCCTCTTCGTTCTGGGGGCTTGTAACTATGGGCCAAGGTTATCTAGAGTGGCCAGAGTCTAAGAACCCTGATCTAACAAAGGGAGCCCCTGCATCATAGGCAGGCCGTTGCCTAGGTGTCTAGGGATTGTAAACAGTTGCCCATCACAGTGCTTGCCCCTAGCCTAATGGTAATATCAAGAAAGTGTGAATTACATTAATTCAGTCGCTTATAAGTGTACTTTTTGTACCTTAAAAGCAACTGGAAGTATATTTTCACTTGTAGGGGACCTCTACCCTGTCAGTAGTCCTAAAGCAAGCTGCTCAGATTGCAGTGAACTGGTTTAGAACTGCATTTGAAAAGCGTCTGACTTCAGTACTAAAAAAGTACCATGGCCCACCTGTGAAATACTGAGGGCTATAATCATAGACCATATTACTCCAGAGCTTTGCAACGTCCTTAGTCAGCAGATTGCATAGAGCAGCACCCTGTCTATTTCTGGGTACAATTTGGAGTGGGGTTTTGATCTTTATAGAAACCATCTTAGCTATTTCCCTACATGCTTAACCAGAGCTTAAAATCAGATCTATAGCTGCTGACCAAAGTCAGAAGCGGCAGCAGGCACTTTGTATAACAGCTCCTTGTTCCTGGACTCCAGTTAAGCTTCCATAAGAAGGAGCAAACACTTTGTTTTCTTAACTTAGTATAATACAGTGGAAGGAACTGTATGTGAATCCAACAGAAGCCAGCCTGGGTTCAAATCCTGGGTCTGATAATTACTAGCTGTGTGACGGCAGGGTAAGTGATTCCATCTAACTGAAGCCCACTTTTCTCATCTGGAAAATGGAGATTGTAACGATTTATATTCGTATCTCACAGGATTGTTGTGAGGAAAGCTCTTTTTAAACCATGGAACTATGAACTTAACTCTAGAAAAATGGGAATTTTTGTTGTTGTTAGATGTAAAAATCCATTTCATACTAGGGTGGATTAATAATGAGGCCATGCATATATAGGCTTTCCAGGTTTCCAGGCAGTGACGCCCCACCCTCCATTCTTTAGTTCATAAAATGTGAGAATTTTAATGAGACAAGATTATTTTTTATTTGTGGAGACTATACTCCAAAGTGTAACTTTCCTAGAGGTCTGATTTCATTTAAGCCTAGCCTTGGTGACTTTTTGCTGCTTTTTTTTTTAACATAGTCTCAGACTGATCTGATCATATGTTTTTGCATGCTTGGTCCAGCCTTGAATGATATGCATGAGAAGCTCAAGTACAGCCAGTGGAGCCTCCTGAAAATACTTTCATATGCCTGTCTGGTGGTAGCCATAGCCTCAGAATACAGCTCAGAATAATATTAAGGGGTTTTTTTAGTAACTTTTAGCTTTACCTTCTGAGGAAAGAGATATAAGGGTACCTGTATTTTTAATCAACTATTACTGAATTGGATACTCTTCTACCCACGTGTTCTGCTTTTTTAATGGATCAATTTCCCACTTTGATCAAGAACAGGTCATGCCAGACTAACCTCGTTTCCTTTTTTGACAGGGTTATTAGACTAGTAGATGAGGAGATTGCTATAAATTTAATATAACTAGTTTTTAGCTAAACATTTGACAAAGACTTGTGTTTTCGATGTATACAAAATGGAGAGATGTGGGCCAGATAATACTACAGTTAGGCGTATGTACTGGTTAAATAACCAGACCTAATAATAGTTATTTTTGAATCTGTGTCAACTTGTAGGGTCAGAGTTCTTCTCCATTTTTGTGTCATGGATCCGTTTGGCAGTCTGGTAAAGCCTGTTGGCCCTTTCTCAGACCTTTTCAGAATTGTGTTTTCAAGTTCATTAAATAAAATATGTACGATTACAAAGGAAACCAATTGTATGTACCCCCAAGGACACTGCTTTAACTTTTTCATCAGATCACCATAGATGGCATGTGCTTATCAGACTTACAGATGGTACATAGCTGGGAGGGAGGGATCAGGGAGGGGTTCAATGGAAGAGTTAAGATCCAAAAATATCTCGACACACTAGAATGTTAGGCTGAATCGAGTGAGGTGAAATTTAACAGGTCTCAATGTAAAGTTCTACAAAGCAGTTCAAAAAATCAACTTCACAGGTAAAAGATGGGGTTGGGAGGAAGGGTTGGGGAAGTGTGTGTGGGGGGGGGTCCAAATGTGGGGGGTTGAAGGCGTGACTAAAAGCATTTGACCTGAAGAATGATCTGAGAATTTTCCGACGATGTAAGTACACTATTAAAATGAGTTGGCAGTGTGATATGGGGAACCAAAGAAACATCAAGTTATCTCTGGCAGCATCAAGACAAGTATAATATCTAAAAAGAGGGAAGTAAGAGTTCTACTGTATTCTGTCCTACTCAGACCACGTCTAGAGTATTATTGTCACATTCCCAGGAGAGTGACCAAGAGAGTAAAGTGCTTTGATTTCTTGCCATAAAAGGATCCGATGAAGGAACTGAGGGTGTTTAGCTTGGAAAAAAAATTAGACTTGGGGGTTATGCTGAAAGTTTTTGAAGGGTGTTCATATGGAAGATGGAATCATTTTTTTTTCTGCTTAGCAAAACTAGGAGGGAAGACTAGGGAGCATTACATTGTAAAGGAGAAAGTTTAGTCTTAATAGAAGGAAGAACTTCCTAACAATCCGAGGCATTCAGAAGTAGAATGTGGTTAGAAAGTAGTGGATCTGTCTCCGTCGGAGTTTTTGAAGAAGGCTGGATGACTTCTTGGCAGGGATTTGTGGAGGGAATTTTTATTCAGGTACAGCTTGGGCTACTTGCCTCGAAGGTCCTTTCTAACTCAACTTCTGTGGTGGTGGAGCAAACAAAATTCCCGTGTTGTCACATGATTTACTTTTTAAAATTTCTGTACTGCACTTTATTTCAATAACTGAACATTTATTAAATGCCTGCCATATACAAGAACATTGTGCTAAATGCTAGGGATATGGTTTTCTACTTTTCATTTAATTTGAATTTCATTGAATTTCTTTAATTTACATCGTACTTAGCAGCTAGTATAATTGAAAAAGAGCACTGAATTTGGAGTCAAAGGACCTGCCTTGAAATCCCAGTTCTCCTTTCTAACTGTGTGACCAGGGAAATGCCTTTCCTTCTCTGGCCCTCAGTGTCTTTGGGTATAAAATGAGGGGATTGGAGAGTTTAGATCTAGAAAGTCTGTCCTAGCTCTAAAATCCCAATGATTGTGATGTGTGAGATCCCAAAGTCTCTGACCCCATAGACCAGCAGGCATTTGGGACAACTGGAACAGGTCCTAATATGGATACCAGCAGTGCAGACAGCAGATGAAGGTTCAAATATGGATTGCCTTTAGGCTGATGGTATTACTCCACCCATGCTGTGATCAGAGAGAAGTTTGAAGGTCATGATTTGGGAATCTCCTAACTGCAACTCCAGGTTGATAAGAAGTTATGTGTCAGACCCAGGGAGCAGTTGTTTTCATTCTCAGGTTGCTTAAAAGCTTTTCTAGTTCAGTTGGTAGTGAACTGCGTTTCCGTGAAAGTCTAATTAATTCTTCATCGTCGTTGGTTCTGTGAGGATGGTGGAAAGAAAACTGCCTGGCAAGTAAGTGACCCTGGGCGTCTTGAGCATTGTACTTTTCAGTATGATCATTGAAATTTATTAATGACTTAATAATGCACATGCAAAAGAATGTGAGGTACAGATCTCGCCCAAGCATTGCAGGAAAGGAAGGGGCCTTTCCACTATGGATATGTGCTGGTTTGGTAGTTGACAAAGGGGAAATGACTTCTCTCTGAAATCTTAACTTGAGGGCTCGGTTAAATTTTAATTTTTTTTTTTTTACCATTCCAATGGGTATTAGAATAATTGGCATTATTTCAGTATTCTGTTGTCTATGTGTACAGTATTACTGTATATTTCAGCATATCCATCTGCAGATATGTATAATAGTCATAAACTATTAAAGCTTAATACTGCAGTAAGACTTTGGGACACCCTGGAAATATGTGGAGCTATCCAGAGCTCGATTTTC